TTTATTATATTCACCTATTAAGGTAAACCCAATTAATTACGTATTTAGAGATTACTTATCTTGAGCCACTACTTCCTCATTATTGCTCACTCCTGCCCTCTTGTTAAAAATGCAGTATTTTCTTAAGTTTTCATGCAGCATCGCATGCTCGTCAGTTTGTATTAGATCATGTGTCAGGTTCACTCTGTCACATGACCCAATGCAACATGATGCAGCCATCACATATCACATATTTTAAAATTCAAGCAGAAGACAACAGAGGTGCAAATATCACACATCATTCCTGGATATGCAGATGCATCTTGTATTCAGGAGTACCAGCATTACTATCAAGTAGCTTGAAACATTTTAATCTATAGTAAACTTCAGATCTACCAATTCCAGTTACCAGCATCCTGATTTTTAAAAAAAGACACAAATTGATGATCTTGGGCATCTCATGGCAATGTCAGAAGTATTAATTCTAAAGAAAATTTAAATGAGGTTCCCTGGTCTTCTGATGAGGTTATACATTTAACCACAACAAAATGGAAAGGGCATGTTGTAGTCTGGAAATGCCCAGGAGGAGGTTTATATTTACTCTCTCTTTTACACTGTACATTACCAAAGCAGGGAGACTCAGCAGTCAGCGGGATATTATTTATTTATTCAAAACATCTTTCATTTCCTGAGATGCAGTATGTTATTTACAGGGCACATACTGTTGTTACATGAAGCAAACATCCACAGGCAGATTAAATCAAGATACTGCAGCCATAGTGGTATATCCTGATAACAATGATTTTAAAACAGTTGCTAAAATGTAAAGAAATATCTTAGGGCTTTGCTACTGATTTAACCAGGGACAACACTCCAGAAGGATAGCTAAGGCAACAGAAATGCTACTATAGGAGATGTGCTTTGTGAATGAAATTTTAGCTACAAAGATCCTACACCAATGTCACTGAAAAAGGAAAGCAAAAAGAAAACAGAAACAGAAAAGATTAATGTGCACAACACCATTTTTTTCAGACACCATTTCAAGCAAAAGTAACACATTTTCTGCATCTGGAGTGGCTCATTTTCTCTTCATAGAAGTGGCATAGTATTAAAATATTAATTAAGTGAAAATAAAGTATATGTAAACCCTGAAAGCAGATGACAAGAAGCTAAATATCGTGAACCTAAAGACAGGCTAAAGTGGAAACACCCATGGGAAAGTTCCAACATGGGGAATGTAGGTCAACCATTTGTGTCTCAAATTAATTACCCACAGCACTTCCATTAGAATGAATGGGATTTTAAGTATGAAATACATTGGGACTTAACTCTACCAAGGATACACATCTACCTATATATAAATCTCAGAGTACACACCAACCTTCACCTGTCCTAAGCAAGCCTCTCCAATATTGTTATGACCGCTTCCTAATGTTCTCAAGAGATAAAAAAAGGTTGATGTGATAAAATATCTCTAGGTACAACTTAGTCTTTTGCTAGACTTAACAGACTTACCAATGTATCTTAAGACAAATGCATTGTGAACTTGGAACTGTCATCACACCAGCCCAAATCACATTTTCATCTGTTCATGTAGTGCACACCTGTGGCTTGTTGACAATGCAGAAATTAAACATTCTGAGGCAATTGAATACCCTGTGAATTCTCACAGTAGATAAGCACAAAGGTATTTAGCACAGGTGTTGTTGTAATTGTGATACATTAGAAAAATTCACCCTGTTCTGTGGCGCTCAAGGTCACATCTCTACCTGGGTGGTATGTAAGGTTGGCAGGAACAAGTCTGGAGAGTTCTGAAGTAATTCATAAAAAGGTTTGGTAATTTGTCAGCCCAACCAAACATTTTAAGGCTCAGGTTTCTTTTTAGAACAGTAGGTTTAGAAGGAGATGGCAAAAATAAGAAATCTAAATGACCCTTCTCTCTCCTAGCTCATTAAATAGTGGAGCAGAATGGCCAAATTCACAAAAGACAAGTACAAGGAGCATCAGGAAAGTGAGGGTAGCATTAACAGCCACAGGGCTTTCAAATCAGGATGGTTTTATATTTAAGTCTGAAACGCTACAGATCTGTGTTCTGTCTCCAGCTCTGCAACAGATTCTGTAACCTTGGGTTAACCACTTAATTTCTAATTACAGTCCTTCCTTTCTCCTGCTTTTTGGTGTGCTTTGTCTATTTAGACTGTAACCGTCTTTCATGTAGTATACAATGGGGCTCCAATCTTAGTTGGGACTGGTAAATGCTATTGTACTATAAATAGTAATTAATCATGCTTGTAAATAAATTAATAATAAAAATAGCCATGATGCCAGGGTATTATATTAAACAGGAGAATAAATACAAAGACTGTATGTTGTGTGATGAGTAATGAGCGAGTGGCAGGAGGTGTCTTACAGAGTAGGGAGCCAGGACAGAGGTTTGAAACAAAGGACATGTGCCTGGAGCAGAGCATGGGATTCTTTTAGCATAGACAGCAGAGGCTGCAACATAGCTAAAAAGGAGCAGGGTGGGGAGTGCCTGGTTAATTTTTGCATCGCTTTTCACAGGTTAGAATTCACTAGTAAGTTTCATTAACATTTCTTTGTTCTGGGAAGACTCTTGGCACAGGATGTATATCCCATTAACAGCACAAATACTGGTAGCAGCAGGACTAGCAGCATTGGGCTTCTCACTCATTCAGTTCACACAATAAATTCTGATGAAGACAAAGCAGACACTCATTGGGCTGGCCCTTATAGTTTGCGGGGGGTAACTTTCTTTTTTATTCTTCAGTGTATATAAAAGAGTGAGAAACTGAGATCACAACCCCAAAAGCCCCAGATCATTATTTATTCTTCATGCAAGCATGTATTACTGCCAGCTATTGTTCTAGGACATTCTTACACATTTTCAGCTCCTTCATCCCAGCTAATACATATTTACTATTTTGAGGGTAAACAGTTTTTTGTGCACCAAAAAATTCTGATTTGTGCACAGGGACCACTTACCACTATAACTCAATGTTAAAAATTAGTATTTCCACTTTCTGCACTGATACTAAAATGTTTCCCTCTTCTTTGAATATAAATAACTCCTGTTTGATACCAACTTGTTCTAACTATTGTTAAATGTTGACTTTTTAATGTTTTTAATGTTGCCCATTATACTCAATTTGTGAGCACAAATTTCCCTTCCACCTTGTGCAAAATTTGGGCTTCCCACGTTGGATGAAAAATGATCACCTTGGAAAATTGAGCCTTACTTTTCTAACTTCTCCAAAAAAATCCCCAAACCTCTCATAATAGTATTTCAAAATATTTACTCATTGGCTTTGAACCTGGTGGGAAAGACACACTGAAAAGGAACTGTAACATTAGCCCAACATTTTTATATATAAGACTCTAGTGTTTAGAGTGTTCTTCAGTCTTGAAGCTCAAGTTCAGAGAGAGAAAAATCACAAAGGGCCTCCTTTTCCCCAGAAAACAAAACTCTATAAATCAAGTCACTTTCTTCTGAGAGTCAGAGAATATGTGCAACATGCTAAACATATGGATACCAAGAAAGTGGTTTCTCCTGAATGGTAACTAAGCACAAGCACTCCCTGTCCCCTTTCCCATATGGTGCTTTAGCTGTTCAGACAGTGTAGGTAGCAGAAGGAAGTGCTAAGAATGCAGCCTGACTTTAAAGCACAAAAAGCTTGAGAAGGTCTGACTGTATCTCATCTGTATGTTTGCAAACTGTAAAATACCAGCAGCAGTGGCATCTGTAATCCAGAAGATCAGCTGGCAGAGTTTTAATTTTTAAAGTAGTTTTGAACATTTTTTCCCGGCACCACATGGTGATTTTTGTCCTTCTGAGAGCCAAAGGCAAATACAGACATGCTCAACATACATAGTCAAAGGGAGTGGTTTCCTAGCAACAATAATGATATGAAAGGAGCTGAAGCTTCCTTTCCAATCCCTTATGCGATATTAAAGCAATCTGCAATATACAGGAATGGAGAAAGTATCTAAGAAATCTGGCTCTGCATCTTTACCAAAATAGAAGGGAAATCAGGTGTCCAATTTTGCCAGTACTGCTATAGTCCAGCACTTCTAAGTGTAGTATAAAATACAGAAGTGGAGCAAATTCTGTAGTATGCTTTTCATCCTCTCTGAATAATATACTCTGTCTCACTCACTCCCCCTAAGGGCCATACACTGTCCTTGATTCAGATCTGAGGAGCTAAAGGCAACACAATTCTCCCTAATGAGAGATCACCTTTGCCATTTCTCACAACTTGTTCTCAGACTACCACAACATTCTCAGTCTTATCTGGATTAAACTGCTGGCAGTTCACTTTCACCCAAGCCCAATCTTGACAATTTATTTGGAATGCTACACAACTGTACCAGCTGGATTCACCAAAGAAAATAAAACATGGAGTGAAGCACCATCTGTATGGAAAAGACATTGAACTCCCATCTGTATGGAAAAGACTTCATAACTCCCTTTACTGCATTACACACATTCAACAGGAGGGTATTAGAGTGACAACCATTTGTAGCAAAAGAGCAGCTCCATCTAAGGCCTGACTCTACAGCCATATCAACACATCTTGTGGGTGCTCCCAAAGGCGGCTGAGAGAGCAAGGAGAATCAGATGAGCACCTGATTTTTTTTGTATTGGCAGCAGTTCATCAGTCAGGAAAACAGGACAGGGTCCTTTCAGGCTATCCTAAAAACAGACCGTCAAAGGTCAAGGAAACACGAAAACACCAGCAGCTGCAGAATTGTTTTGAAACCACCTTCTCTATAATCCTCCACCCCCAGGAAATTAGACACCAGTGACATCAAAGAGATTATCAATGTCAAGAGATATATAAAAATGCTTATTCAAGAAAAGCCAGTACCTTAACCACGCCAAGGAAGGCAAAGAATTCTCTTTAATCGTTGGACACAGTAGTTCTAGAAGCAGTACAGTTCCAAGATGTATGTGGTAGCCCAACGTTTCCACACACATTGTGTGTCTAATTACAGAAGACAGCCAGCATTTGTCCTTTTCAGAAACACCTTTTTCGTGGAAACTTCTCAGCTCTGGAATGTATTGGCTATTTTGATCTACAAAGGCCCAAGTCTGTTTGTGTACAATATCAGTTCATTCTGGCTTTTTAACTGGAAGGAGACAAGTGGGAATTTGGGTCAGTTACAGATTTTAAATAAAAGAATCAAATAGTTAACTGAGTTGTGTTGATGCTGTTGGCAGAGGATCACTAAAGTGCTCTGTTTATGAATCTAGCAGAGTGTCAGGAATTATCAGATATACTGGAAGAATAAGACTTGGCCAAATGTATTTCAGGCCAAATATTCTGGATAATTTTTTAATAACTGCAAGATACAGTGGTAGTCGTCTTTATACAATATTTGTATACAAAAAAGTAGAGGGCAATAACTGTGCTAGCTCACATACCACTCCGCAGTAATGGTTGGTAGCTACTGACATTTTAATGGCAGCTGTTGTATTTAGTTTGAATTGAGATGAAACCATGTGATCCAGAGTGTTGCCTCGTTACAAATAAATGTAACTTTAATGTATCCAGCCTTTGAAGTTAACAAAATCAAAATGTATTCAAGGAATCTAAACATTTACTTTAATAAAACATTTACATTCGTTACCCAGCAAGTGTACTGCAAACAAGTCTGTGTAAGCAAATTTAGTTTCACTCAGGACCTGTGCAGGCTAATGACTATGCTGACCAGCTTCAAAACTGTATTAAGACTACTTATTATTTATTATAAAATGCTTGCACAGAGGGAGAGACCTAATTGTCTGATGAAGATCCCAACCCCTGTGGGTATCACAGCATACTATACCTGTAAGAGTCAGGGCTCATTAGCCTAATCACAAAGAATAATACTTAGAGCAGAGCTGTGCAAAGCTTCTGAATTTTATCTTCCTAGGAGTGTCACAAAAACACCAGCCTTTTTTTTTTTTTGGTAGAATTTCTTACTGGCAGCAAATAGCTTTCTCCCCACAGTCTTCACTGCAGACACTAGCGACACCAAACTCTGCAGGGCCATGAATGTTCAACATCTCCCACGGCATCTGATTAATAATACCCATCCCTCTTCCAAGCATGGAGCCATAGTACTTGCTGAAGCAGTAGCAGATGAGGTTGGTAGCAGATAGGTTGGTGGTGGGGCTAACAAGCGATCTTTTATTTTGAATTAATCTTCCACACAAAGACATCGATGCACTGTGGATTTCTCAGTCCATGCAATAAGTACTATTAGTTTACAAGACAAGAAGCCTCGTTGTTTTATTGGCTTGGAATACAGAGAAATATATTCAGTGTGTATTTCTTTCTCTATAATTTCTCGGGTACTCCCTTTTTGGAATGTAGCTGCACATGGTATTAGATCTATATGTAGTTTTATGTTTTTCTATTTCCCTTATATTATGCAGTAAGAGAAGTAGTCAGACAGTTGCAGCAGGGAGTTAGGGGGGTTCAGTCTGTGTTCCTGTCTGGCTGAAGAAGCAGCAGGACCATGGACAGATCAGTACTGGCAGGAATCAGGAAACAAGAAAGAGCTCCTGGCTGGCTGCTGGGCCAGAGTAAGGACTGAGCACAGGGAGGGCTGCAGGAAGACAGTCTCTCCAGGAAGGAAGCCCTGGTACTAAGAGTATGGCTGCCTACCTGTTGCCAGAATTATTTAAAGGCTGAGAGTGGAAAGAACTGCAGAGGTACCACCCCAGGGGTACTGGGATAAGCACCTCATACACTGTATACTGCAGAAGGGGTCTGTTTCAGTTTGGAAGGCTGTCACTGAAAATTCACAAGAAACCTTCCACAAATAGAGATGTAGGTGCACACACTTGACCAAAGGGTGCTCACAAGAGGTGGGTACTTCTCTATTCCGTAGTCCCCCTGTTTTACATACAATGGAAGGGTGTTAAGAGATGTCGTTTTCTCTTTGTCAGATCTTGGTATATAAGATTACCATATTTTAGTAACTTCCAGTTGAAACTCTGTTAATATGAGTACATTAGAACAGTGGTGAGCAACCCATGGGTCGTGACCCCCAAGGGAGTCGCAGATGTCTTCCTGGGAGGTTGCGGCGCTTAGATCCAGCTGGCTGAGGGATGGACCCAGCAGTTGGTTGCCCCTGTGGTGCGGCACCTAGGTCTGGCTGGCTGGTGGCTGGACTCAGCAGTTGGCAGCCCCTGCAGCATGGGGGTCGCAGATCAAAAAAGGTTGCACACCACTGCATTAGAATGAGATAGGCTCCAAAGACCCAATTCATTTGGACATCACACTGGGACTCAGGAGACCTAGATCCTATTCTGCACTGAGACACTGATCTTTTGGGTGACTGAAACTCAGTCATTCCACAGATAACCTTTTTCCAGGTAGAGTCAGCCGCAGCAAAGGTCAATATATAGGGTTCCTCTTAACAACCTGGGAAAATGAGACACCACCCTTATATGCCTACAAGAAAAAATGCTTCCCTGTTCACGAGCACTGAATCTATGCATGATAAAAGAACACTGTTATTAAAAGGAGAAAGGGAAGACCACACAACTACTTTCAAAAGCACATAACCAAGTAGAGCCCTGTGCGTATCCAAATATCTACCTATGGATATGGATATCCACAAATAGAAATCAGTATCTGCTGATCCTCAGGGCTGTACTCCCAGAATATATTGTGGTCAAAAGAGAAGAAGGAGTTGCCACCACTCCCAGGAACCAGTGCCCTGTGCCAGCAACTCCACCCAACCATGTGGTTATGTCATTCTCAGCTTCACCACCAGTGGGGATATACACCACCAGAGAGGAGACACAGCTGGTGGCAGGGCAGAGAGGAGTAGAGCAGCATGGCTGGGAGGAGATGTCTGTAGGGGGTGTCTGCTGCTAGGATTGGCAATGTCATTGTCCTCTCCTTTCGCCACAATATATCCTGGGAGTAGAGCCTTGAGGATCAACGGATACTGATTCTATTTGTGGATATCCACATCCACAGGTAGATATTTGTATCCACCAAGGGCTCTAACCATACCCAATCCACAGTATTTTGGGCAGCATTCCTTGCCTCACTTAGTGGTGTGAAAGTCCAAGCAAATATCCCCCTATCGTGCCACTTCTCTTCCCTCCACTGCACTCCAGAGTTCAGATGCATAGCCACATTGGTCCATATCACATTCCCGAAAGTGGGGAGGTGTAAAACATGTGCCTTCACTGTTGCCACCACCTCTGTAACTGGCTTATTGTTGCTGTCACTCTTGTCTCTGCTGCTGCTAAATACTGCTTTTGTTTGCTGCTTCCTAATGGTGGTCTCTCTGTTGCCACTTCCATGATACTGTGTCCTGAGGTTCCCCCTCCCCAAACTTAGCCCAGCTCTTACTGATTTCACTGGGTAACAAAGAACTTCTGTGCTGCTGCCTCTTCACTGTCTTCAATACAACATGGTCCTCATACCAGGTCTCAGGCTTAGCCACTAGACCTGCTCATCAGCAATTTCAGCTCTAGCAACCACTGAACAGAAACAATGACTCTTGATGTAGTCCAATCATTTTTAACACATTAAACACTGGAGAGTCAAAGAGTGTTTACGACTCTTTAGGCAGAGTCCACAGCAGTGATGAGAAACCAAGGTTAATGAGTGGGCCATTTGAGTGGCCCTCCTTCATCTCAGTGGGCTACCAAGGCATGTCTACAGTAGGAAATTATTTCAAAAGAACTAAATTCAAAATAACTCCTGAAATAACAAAATTGAAATAGCATGTCCCACTACAGGGGAGCCCTGAAATTAGTCCAAGATAGGTTCTGTTATCGTGGCTGCACTATCTCAACTTAGAGCCCCGGGAAGCAATGGGGAGTAATTACTTCAAATTACTCTATGGAGTAGTTATTTCAAAATAGCAGCAGCAAAGCATCCACACTAATGCTTATTTCAAAATAAGCATTATTCCCCAAGGAAAGCAGGAGTACAAATTTCAAAGTAACCATACCATTATTTCAAAATAATGAGCTTGGTACAATGAATGCTCAGCTTATTATTTTAAAATAAGAGGGGTTATTTCAAAATAACTTCCTAGTGTAGACCAGGGCCCAGATTGTTATAACTGAGACCACCTCTCAGAATAGGGTAGTTTTGTTAACTGTGCTTGCATACCTAGAATTACCAAGGAGTGGCAATTGAGCCATAGAAGCACTTTGATTGGATGCTGAGGGAATGCATGGCTCTCACAGTCAGTGTCCTGAGCAATCAGCATTTACCTCACTTCACATGCCCTTGCTTTATGTACATATCACTTTAGTAATACCAGTAGGGAAAAAACTGTGCCTATGGAAACTGGAGGAAACTGGCAACCCTGCACATGGTCAATGGTATACAAAATATCTCATGAGCCACACATAGAACCCTGATGGGCCACTTGGTTGCCTACTACTGATCTATACCATCAGGTACAAATGCCAGTTAAAAATAGAGGGGTGGGGATGGATATTTGTCATCTCATAGAATCATAGAATCCCAGGGCTGGAAGAGACCTAAGGAGGTCATTGAGTCCAGCACCCTACCCAAAGCAGGACTAATCCCAACTAAATTATCCCAGCCAGGGCTTTGTCAAGCCACTTAAAAACCTCTAGGGATGGAGAGTCCACCCTCTCCATTACTTCCAGTACTTCACCACCCTCCTAGTGAAATAGTTTTTCCTAATATCCAACCTAGACCTCCCCCACTGTAACTTGAGACCATTGCTCCTTGTTCTGCCATCCATAACCACTGAGAACAGCCTCTCTTCATCCTCTTTGGAACCTCCCTTCAGGAAATTGAAAGCTGCTATCAAACCCCCTCACTCTTTTCTTCTGCAGACTAAATAAGACCAAATCCCTCAGCCTCTCCTCATAGGTCATGTGCTCTAGCCCCCTAATTATTTTGGTTGCCCTCCACTAGACCCTCTCCGGTGCATCCACATCATTTCTGTAGGGGAGGAACACAGTACTCCAAATGTGGCCTCACCAGTGCTGAATAAAGGGGAATAATCACTTCCCTCGATCTGCTGGCAATGCTCCTCCTAATGCACCCTAATATGCCATTAGCCTTCTTGGCTACAAGGGCACACTGTTGACTCATATCCAGCTTCTCATCCACTGTATCCCCAGGTCCTTT